ACTACATGGTTATAGTGCTATTATTTCACTTTAGTCTATGAAAGGCTGGGATTTGTAGTCTTTTGAGCCATATGAACATTCCGACTGAGAATTCAAAATACTCCTCCCTAAACTGCCAATCCATAGATTTAATAGGATAGAGCTATGGCTGTTATGTAGACTCATTTCTCCATAATTGTATAGTGTAAATAGAACCTTGGATGTTCTGTGCGTGTCTAAATATTCTACAGTGCATTGATTGTGTTTCTGCAAATCATGATTTACATCATGCCCACTAAACCATTACTAACACAATCAACTCTTCTGTCGCTGTTATCATTATGGATAGCAATGAATGTGTACAATTGATGGCGGTGAATCTATAAATTGCTTGTGTTCATGGAGGGTTGGTATTTTATCTGGAGGTGGTCTAAGCTCTGTTAGATATAAAGGAAATGACATTTCTTTTCAGGTACCGGAGGAAATCTATGATGGACTTGGAATCTCATAAAAGACTCCAAACACTCCATAGCGACTTCCCCCCTAGTGACCAGGTGTGTAGCATCTCCTTTCCCCCTTTTTACTGTTAAGCCATCCATATAAGCACTTGGTTGACCAGCAGCCAATGTGAAGGGTTTGGCGCTGGGTCTTCGGGCCTTCAGGTGAGTCTTGAGTCCCTACTGGTTCTTCACTCCCAAAGCAGCTCTCAAGATAAATAACATTTTTAGGAATATCTTTCAGAATCCCATTGCCATGTATTGCATTTGGGGGAAGTAGTCTGAGAAGTAATCTTTCCAAGCTTTGCTCCCATTAAAGGGTTCCTTATACTGCTTCACTAGTATTTATCTCAGGTATGGACAAACTTTGGCCTTTCAGGTGTTTTAGACTTCAACTCCCAGCTGTTAGGAATTGTGGGAGTTGAAGCTGTTAGGAATTGTGTGAGTTGAAGTCCAAAACACCTGGAGGACCAACGTTTGCCCATGCCTGATTTATCTAGTATCTCTAAGATCGAGGGATTCAAGATTATGGATCTGCAAGTTGTGCAGCAAGATTAGATTCTGCTAAAGGTTGAGCTAATCATTTGCATTGCTCTCTTGAGGCCACAAATGAAAACACTTATGGCTCTGCATATCTTCCCAAGGATAAAGTTGACAGCAAAGATTCCATATGGACACTTCTCTGCCTGTATAGGCAGAGGAGTAAACATGGTGGGACTGAAAGAGAACTGTGTAATAGTAGCAGATGTATTTCTTTTAATCATTGGGGAAGGAAAAATTCATTATTACTCTCACTCAAAGTTTCCCCATTCTCCTCAAAGCCCACCTTGCTGCTGGGCCTCCCATGGCCATTTGGTGGCCAGTGGAGTGCAGGGAATGGCGGAGAAGTATCTTGTTGTGTCTGTAGTCAGATGTCATGAATAATAATAATAGTAGTAGTAGTAGTAGTAGTAGTAAGTGTAGAGTCTGCAAGTGTAGACTCTGCCAGGAAGCAGATGAAACAATAGATCACATTCTCAGCTGCTGCAAGATGATCGCACAGACAGAAGAACGCGCAGCAGAGGCATAACACCGTTGCTCAGATGATTCATTGGAACTTGTGCCAAAAAAATACTATTTGCCTGTAACAAAGAACTGGTAGGATCACAAGATGGAAAAAGTTACAGAAAATGAACACATCAAGCTACTCTGGGACTTCCGGATTCAGACAGACAGAGTTTTGGAGCATAATACTCCTGACCTCACGATCATGTTAAAAAACAAAGTATGGATTGTCCATGTTACAATCCCAGGTGACAGCAGGATTAACGAGAAACAACTGGAAAAGCTGACACGATATGAGGATTTAAATATCGAACTGCAAAGACTCTGGCACAAACCAGTAAAGGTGGTCCCAGTGGTGATCGGCACACTAAAGACCTTGGCCTGCACTTAAACACAATCGGTGCTGACAAAATTACCATCTGCCAGCTGCAAAAGGCCACCTTACTGGGATCTGCACACATTATTTGCCGATACATCACACAGTCCTAAACACTTGGGAAGTGTCCGACGTGTGATCCAATACAACAGCCAGCAGAGTGTCTGCTGTGGACTCATCTTGTTGTTTAATAATAATAATAATAATAATAATAATAATAATAATAATAATTGGAAACAACTGGAAAAGCTGACACAATACGAGGATTTAAAGATTAAACTGCAAAGACTCTGGCACAAGCCAGACAAAATGGTCCCAGTGGTAATCAGCACACTGGGTGCAGTGCCTAAAGACCGTGGCCTGCACTTAAACACAATTGGCGCTAACAAAATTACCATCTGTCAATTGCAAAAGGCAACCCTAATGCAATCTGCACACATTATTCACTGATACATCACATAGCCCTAGACACTTGGGAAGTGTCCGATGTGTGCTCCAATACAACAACCAGCATAGTGATCTTGTTTGCTGTTTACTAATCTTGTTGTGTTTCAAATAATAATAATTTTATTTCTTCCCCACCTCTTCTCATGGCTTGAAGTTACAACATTGCCAAAACACAAAATCAAAACACACATACTCCGTAGAAAACACATATTAATATTAAAACATATTTCCATAAAATACACATTAAAATACATCAACAAAAATTAGACATAGAGTGGAAGTTTAAAATCCATCATTAAAACCATCTGAGTTTGATCAGAAGTGCAATCCAAAATGAATAGCAGAAAGGATTTAAATATCCTGCAGAAGAGATTCAAGACAGCAATCTAGGAAACCAGCTTGAAATCATCTGGATAAGAATCAAGGGAACTGGGACTCAAAAAGATGTCGTTGTAGGCGTCTACTACAGACCCCCAAGCCAGGAGGAAGAACTTGATGAAGTCTTCTGCCAACAGTTGACCAAACAGGCACAGAGAAGAGATGTAGTAGTCATGGGCGATTTCAACTATCCCGATATTTGCTGGAAAACAAACTCGGCCAAGAGTACAAGGTCCAACAAATTCCTCGCTTGCCTTGCAGACAATTTCATGGTCCAGAAGGTAGAAGAGGCAACAAGGGGATTGGCTACTCTTGATCTCATCCTAACAAATGCGGAGGACCTGATCGATGCGGTCAAAGTGGTAGGATCCTTAGGGGCAAGTGACCATGTGCTCCTGCAATTTGAGGTACAAAGGAAGGCCGAAACTAAGACAAGTCAAACCCGCATTTTGGACTTTAGGAGAGCTGATTTCCAAAAAATGAAGGAAACGCTGAGCAGCATTCCGTGGACACAGATACTAAAAGACAAGGGAGTTACGGATGGATGGGAATTTCTCAAGAGTGAAATACTCAAGGCGCAATTGCAAACCGTGCCAACAAAGAGAAAAAAATAGGACAAGTGCAAAGAAGCCAGAATGGATGTCCAAAGAACTTCTAACTGTGCTAAGACACAAAAGAGACATGCACAAGAAGTGGAAAAAGGGAGAAATCACCAAAGAAGAATTCAAACAAATAGCCAACACCTGTAGGGAAAAGGTCCGCAAGGCTAAAGCAAAAAACGAGCTCAGACTTGCCAGGGACATTAAAAACAATAAAAAGGGCTTCTATTCTTATGTCAGTAGAAAAAGGAAAAACAAGGAGGCGATAGGACCTCTTCGAGGAGAAGATGGGGCAATGCTGACAGGGGATAGGGAAAAGGCAGAATTACTTAATGCCTTCTTTGCCTCGGTCTTCTCACAAAAAGAGAGTCTTCAACCTCAGCAAGATGGAGTGGATGAGGGATTGGAGGACATCCAACCCCAAATTGGGAAAGAAGTCGTCCAGGAATACCTGGCCGCTCTTAATGAGTTCAAGTCCCCAGGGCCAGATCAACTACACCCCAGAGTATTGAAGGAACTAGCGGAAGTCATTTCGGAACCATTGGCAACCATCTTTGAGAGTTCTTGGAGAACGGGAGAAGTTCCAGCAGATTGGAGGAGGGCCAAGGTGGTCCCAATCTTCAAGAAGGGAAAAAAGGATGACCCAAACAACTACCGTCCGGTCAGCCTCACGTCGATACCGGGCAAGATTCTGGAAAAGATTGTTAAGGAAGCGGTCTGCAAACACTTAGAAACAAATGCAGTCATCGCTAATAGGCAACATGGATTTATCAAAAACAAGTCATGCCAGACTAATCTGATCTCTTTTTTCGATAGAGTTACAAGCTGGGTAGATGCGGGGAATGCCGTGGATGGAGCGTACCTGGATTTCAGTAAGGCCTTCGACAAGGTCCCCCATGACCTTCTGGCAAGGAAACTAGTCCAATGTGGGCTAGGCAAAACTACGGTGAGGTGGATCTGTAATTGGTTAAGTGGACGAACACAGAGAGTGCTCACTAATGCTTCTTCTTCATCTTGGAAAGAAGTGACAAGTGGAGTGCCGCAGGGTTCCGTCCTGGGCCCGGTCCTGTTCAACATCTTTATTAATGACTTAGATGAAGGGCTAGAAGGCAGGATCATCAAGTTTGCAGACGACACCAAATTGGGAGGGATAGCCAATACTCCAGAGGACAGGAGCAGAATTCAAAACGATCTTGACAGATTAGAGATGGGCCAAAACTAACAAAATGAAGTTCAACAGTACAAATGCAGGATACTCCACTTGGGCAGAATAAATGAAACGCAAAGATACAGAAGGCCTGGCTCGACAGCAGTACATGTGAAAAAGATCTTGGAGTCCTTGTGGACAATAAGTTAAACATAAGCCAACAATGTGATGCGGCGGCAAAAAAAAAAAAAAGCCAATGGGATTTTGGCCTGCATCAATAGGAGTCTAGTGTCTAGATCAAGGGAAGTCATGCTACCCCTCTATTCTGCCTTGGTTAGACCACACCTGGAATATTGTGTCCAATTCTGGGCACCACAATTGAAGAGAGATATTGACAAGCTGGAATGTGTCCAGAGGAGGGCGACTAAAATGATCAAGGGTCTGGAGAACAAGTCCTATGAGGAGTGGCTTAAAGAGCTGGGCATGTTTAGCCTGAAGAAGAGAAGGCTGAGAGGAGACATGATAGCCATGTATAAATATGTGAGAGGAAGTCATAGGGAGGAGGGAGCAAGCTTGTTTTCTGCTGCCTGGAGACTAGGACTGCGGAACAATGGCTTCAAACTACAAGAAAGGAGATTCCATCTGAACATGAGGAAGAACTTCTTGACTGTGAGAGCTGTTCAGCAGTGGAACTCTCTGCCTGGAGTGTGGTGGAGGCTCCTTCTTTGGAGGCTTTTAAACAGAGGCTGGATGGCCATCTGTCAGGGGTGCTTTGAATGCGATTTTCCTGCTTCTTGGCAGGAGGTTGGACTGGATGGCCACAAGGTCTTTTCCAACTCTATGGTTCTAGTGGTGTATGTTTAGTTCCTTGATAGCCTGTTCAGATGTATTCGCCTCAGCTTAATCAGACTGGTGGAGCAAATGCTACTGCTGAAGGGTCATCTTCAGCAGTACCTGAGCTAGGTTGGGGAGACTTCTGGGAGGTGCTGGCCTCCATCTCCTTTGCTGGCCACTCCAGCAACTCCTCATCCTTACTATTCAAACCAGCCATGACACTAAAGGCTTATGGATAGAGCTGCCCTCTAGGACCTCTAAGGATCCTGAGAAGGTCTCATAGGTTGAAATCATTATGGTTTATCTGGCTACAGCCACATAGCCAGATGTTTTTTTTGTTTTTTGTTTGTTTGTTTGTTTGTTTTTTGCTGCTCCTCTTTCCACTAGTCATTAATTGACCAAGGAGAGATGATACAGAGCAAGATGGATTCCATCAGAAGGTAGGAGTGTTATTCTTCCTGGCATGTCTCAGTGTGCTATTTTTTTCAATTCCTCCAGAATTACAGTCCTGTACACAGGTTGCAATATTAGCTGAATTGTGGCATTTGTATAATATTGGGTGTTTGTTCTTCCTCTTGCCAATAGGATCCCAACCCCATAGATAATGATGTTACCAAAGAACCAGAAAAAGCTGAAGAATCCACTGACAAAGTCCCCAGTGACCCTGAAGACCTTCATTATGCATCTTTGACGTTTATTGCACGGCAGGACATACCAGATGTGATTCCAGAAGAAATTCAAACAGAGTATGCTGAAATCAAGAGATGCTCTCAGACTGTTCGATGAAAACACAAACATCAAGTAACAGGACTCTTCAGTCTAATTGAAATTGAGGAGAAGGCTGCGTCCTCGTTCTGATCTCCTGTATGCCTTTAGAAGAAATCATTTCCTTCTATAGCATTGCCTGTATTGGATTACACAGCTTCAACTAATAATATAGTTGCCATCCCGACCATTCACCAAGACCTTGATTAATATGGCCTCTCTAGGAATCTCTCGATCTTCCAGTGTTACTCTATGGTCTAGACCCATCAGAATGTGACCATAGAGTCCTACTGGAAGACCGAGAGATTCCTAGAGAGGCCATATTAATCAAATCTGGAAATGATCAAATCCTCAAATGTAGAGGATGGTTAACATTTGTAATTTGCTTATAATCCATTCCAGGATCCAATTACCTCTGATCCTGGAATGGATTGTTGATACCTCTCTAGGAATCTCTCAGTCTTCCAGTGCTATTCTATGGTCAATGTTGTCCAGACCATAGAGTTGCAGTGGATAAACTAGAGATTCCTAAAGAAGCCATGTTAATCAAATCAGAAAAACATCAAATCCAGAAAATTGGCCGACTCTAATGATTAATTTATATAACGGTGATCTCCAGCTCTTGAAGATCTGGTTGTCTTCCTTCTTGATGGTGTTTAGATGTGAAGAGGGGAGATCTTTATTGTGCAAGAATATTGTAGGGACACGGTAAAATAACCCCCATAAAATGATCTAAAGCTTAGGGGAATTAGGGAACTTTTGGTCTTGCATTGGCTTTGGACTACAACTGCCACAATACCTTATCATCAGCCATATTGGTTTGGACTGTTCAAAATATCTGGGAGGACCTTCGAGGGGATGGATGTCTTGTTGAAAAACTGCAAATAATAGAAAGGATTTTTTTAACCTGAGAGATTCCCTTTCTAGGAATTTCTAGGTCCTTCAGTGTTACTGAATGGTCAACATCAACCAGAATTTAGAAATTTCAAGGGAATTAAACCCACAAATGTGGATGACTGGGTGTAATTTATTTAATAATAATATCTGATCCTGGATGATCTGCCTGTCTCCTTCCTCGATGATCTCCTTCCTCGATGATCTATGATGTCCTCAGTTTCTGATTATTTTATTATTTGAAAGCCGCACAATTTCTTTTTGTAAGTCTGAGGTTGTTTGTTCCCCTAACCCTCCATCCAATGTCACGTTGCTGCCTTCATTTATTTGCAATATTTATTTATTTGTGGTATTTTTATACCACTCTTCTCAACCTCAAAAGGGGACTCTGGGTGGTTCGCAGTGTTGGCAACAATTCATTGCCTTTGATAAAAAACAGTATAAAACATCAACATTGACCCCCCCCCCCTCCTGATAAAACATTAAATATCATTAAACACAGCACATGCAATTACATATCACATTGCCCATAAACACTCCTGGGACATTGTACTTTCAACTTTCACTTTCACTTTAAATATTTCTATGATGGGCCAAATGCTTGGTTCCACAAAAGGGTTTTTAGCTGTCTTCTAAAGTTCAGGAAAGAAGAGGCTGACCTGATCTCACTGGGGGGGGGGAGTTTCTCAGCTGTGGGGCCACCACCGAGAAGGCCCTGTCCCTTGTCCCCTACCAGCTGCACCTGTGAGATCAGTGGGGATGAGAGCAGGATCTCCCTGGAAGATCTTAATCTGTGAACTGGATTATAGAGGGAGATATGTTTGGACAGGTAAGTTGGATCGGAGCCATTTAAGGCTTTACAGGCTAAAGCCAGCACTTTGAATCATGCTCGGTAGCTAATAGGCAGCCAGTGGAGTTGCTGTAACAGGGGGGTTGTATGTTCCCTATGTGGTGCCCCAGTTAACAACATGGCTGCAGCACGTTGGACTATTTGCACCTTCCGAACAGTCTTTGAGGGCAACCCCATGTAGAGCGCATTGCAGTAGTCTAAACAGTATGTAACAATAGCGTGGACTACTGTGGCGAAGTCAGGCTTCATGGCATTTTTTAAAAATAATAATAATAGTGTAATTTATATATTGTATTCTATTTCATTGTATTTGATTGTAATAAGAATGAAAAGTTACCCTAAACATGGGGAAAAAATGTGAAACAGAATTTTAAAATAAATACATGGAAAAAAGATAAACACTGTGTCTGAAATGCTTTGGAAAGAAGAGACAAAGGGAGAGGTGAGCAAGGGAAGCCATACATACATTTTCCAAGCCACCTGTCATCTCACATTGACAGGGATCTGTAACCGAACGACTTGCATGACAGCTCTGATGGGCCATCCACCCTTTGCAAGTGTGGTGCGATCCAGACAGAAAGCACCAAAAGCTCCCAGCTGTCTCCTCTGCAAATAAACATCCACTCTTGAGTCATCCAACTGTCATGTGTTCCATGTATGTGCACATGCATGCAATGTGAGAGAATTTATAGCAGCCATGGTTGCTGCCTGTATTCCCCCAGGCAGCAACCAGCCAGGCTTTGAAGCTGCAAGACTATTAAATGTTAATCAAGGTGGTCATTTGCAACATTCACACTTGCCTCAAGCAGAAAAGAGTTATTTCTTTGACCATGGATATTCCACATACATATAAACCTCACTTGCCTAGTTTCCAACAGACCTCAAAACCTCTGAGGATGCCTGCCACAGATATGGACAAAACATCAGGAGAAAATGCTTCTGGAACATGGCCATATAGCCTGGGAATCTTACAGCAACCTAGTGATTCTGGCTACGAAAGCCTTTGACCAGGCATTTATTTTATTTGGAGGATGTGCCAGGGTTAAAGGACACATCAATTGAGAAATCACTTGGTGACAGTGACATCCGCTGGCTGGGGAAAGACTAGGGAAGGAATGGAAACCTGGATTTAATGAAGCTGCTTTGAGTTTAGTGATGGGGAAAAAATCCCAGTTTATGGCTGGATAAGAATTTACTCACAGCCATGACTTTCTTCATACATGAATATTTGAGATATTTCTAATTCAAATGAGTAAGAAGCCAAGGCATTCATTCATTCATTCATTTATCCAGCCAAATGGCCAAAATCCTACCTGTGTTGTTGTTGTTGTTGTTGTTGTTGTGTGCTTTCAGGTTGTGTCTGACTTAGCCTCTATATTAGATTAGAAATAAATATATAAATATGCTCCTGGTGATGCAGTGGGTTAAACCGCTGAGCTGCTGAACTTGCTGACTGAAAGGTCAGATGTTTGTATCCAAGAAGCAGAGTGAGCTTCTGCTGTTAGCCCCAGCTTCTACGGGAAGATAATAGCACCCCATGCAGTCATGCTGGCCACATGACCTTGGAGACATCTATGGACAGTGCCAGCTCTTTGGCTTGGAAATGAAGATGAGCACCACCCCTCAGAGTCGGACATGACTAGATTTAATGCCAAAGGGAAACGTTTTACCTTACATAAATATAATAAAATGCTTGACCCTAAGGCAACTCTTTCATAGGATCATAGGATATTCTTGGCAAGATTTGATTGATGGGTGCCATTTCTCTGTGGCTGAGAGAGTGTGACTTGCCCAAACTATAAAACCAACAGAGAAACATGCCAACATTTTTCCCATTGCGGCAAATGGAACAAATATTAACAAAACAATTATGAAGCTTCAGAGATTCGGATTATGAAACAAAATGGGACCCCCTCCAGATCTTTACGAAACAAAGCGGGGGGCCATCTGAACCTCCAAAATGAATTACTAATAGAATTTCAGTCACTTTTATTGGACACTTTCTGGTGCTTAAGATTTTATTCTATCCTTTCTGCAAGGCAAAGACATCCCAGCAGGTGGCGCTGTGCACAAATGAATGAAGTCTTGAACATAGCTGTATCAGTTACTACCAAATGTTTCCTCTTTCCTTGTTGGTCAATGCATCCATGTGTCATACAAAGAGCATGTGGGAATATATTCTATAGGAGGGTCAGCAAATGCCTACTTTCAATAACAAATAAATTATGTGATCACAGGATGATTTCCATTCAGATCTTTATTTCTGAGAGACAGTGTGGTGTAGTAACTTGAGTATTGGATACCCATTCAGCCATGGAAAGTCACACTATCTCAGCATCAGAGAAAAACAAACAGATCTTGCCAAGGAAACCCTGTGATAGGGTCACCTTAGGGTCCCTGCAAGTTGGAAATGACTTGAATAGCAACACAATTATTTCCCGGCAAGACTAGGAACATGGGATCGCTGTCCAAAACACTGTGCTTCCATGAATGGGAATCCAGTTTCACAAACCTCTTTGGCAATGGTTCTCAACCTTTCCAACACCGAGACCCCTAAATATGCTTCCTCGTGTTGTGGTGACCGCCAACCATAAAATTATTTTCGTTGCTCCTTAATAACTGTAATTTTGCTACTGTTACGAATGGTAATGTAAATATGTGATATGCAGGATGTGTTTTCATTGTTACAAATTCAACATAATTAAAGCTTTGTGATTAATCAGAAAAATATGTTTGGTGGAGTATGGAAAACAGATGATGGGATTTGTAGAACCTTCAACCAATTAAGCTCTGACTTCCACAGACCACTGAGACCTCCACATAGAACTCCCATGTCAAACAAAAAATACTGGAGAAGTTTGGGAGGAATTGACAGTGATTTAGGGGAGATTCACCTACATCTGGAGAGCATTGTGAACCCAAACAACAAGAACTCCCATGACCAACAGAAAATACTGGAAGGGTTTGGTGGGCATTGACCTTGAGTTTTGGAAT